CTTTCTAATCAAATCCTATAGGGCTATGAGAGCCTGAATACATATTCTCTCTGCAGCACCGTGCTTTTTATCAAAATTGCCCAGAAATGAGGGTGTTTTATGTGGTGATTCTGATAGATACTTAGCATCTGTGGGAGGCAGAGCTCTCATCCAGTGTTTGAAACCGAACGTGTGCTTATCGCTTCCCAGCTCTGCGTGGTGTCCCTGGCATTGTTCCGAACGCTCATCGGCTTACACTGCGAAGATGTGATGTTACAGCTAGTGCTAAGGTGAGTTGGCATTTTGTTCCATTAAAACACACACACACACACACACACACACACCTCTGCTACTACTTTATTTTCCTTTGGTAATATAGGGTCGCTCTGAGTCAGAATCAGTGAGTATTAGGGTAATATGAGTTCAGAAGGGGGAACATACCTCTATGGAAAAAAATCATAAAGAACGTGAATTTAATTTTCCACATTGTTTCCCAAGGTTAATTTTAGTATTACTAATAAAAGTTTTAGGAGGCCATCTGTGTTATATGACAAAGGTGGCCCTGGAAACAGCAGGTGGAGCATTTGGGGATGTTCCCGAGTGTGTGAGAGCTCTTCTGGTCCCTGATAGTATGTCTTTGTCCCGAGGAGAGTGCAGCTGCTAGGAGACCTGTGCTATTGAAAACAACTTTTCTGAATATGCAGCACTGTTGATCTGTAATTTTTAACTGCTGCTGTGTGCTCTGTCTGACCTGCATGTCAGTCAATTGCGGTACATATTTACTGAGCGCCTTCTGTGGACAGTTCCGAAAGGAAGTGGGGAGTAGACAAAAAGACAAGGTAGAAAAGGCGTGTCCTACAAAAACACAGGCTTCCTGCGGGAGCTGGCGTTGCATGGTGACTACTGGGAGTCAGATGGAACCCTGGCGGCACAGTGGTTAAGCGCTCAGCTGTGAACCAAAAGGTCCCTGGTTTGGGCCAGCAAATGCTTTCTGGGAGAAAGATGTGGGAAACCCAGCAGAACAGTTCTGCCTTGCCCTGCAGGGTTGCTAACAGTTGGCACACAACCCATTCGCCATCAGTGGGAGCCCAAGGTGGGCACTTAAGGTGACACTGGTGTGTTAATATGTGTAGAGGCTCAGGAACACCACCCCTGTCCTGAAGGAAACACCTGCTTTTGAACATGTGTTTGATGCTTCATGATTAATAAAGGATTTGGTCCCAAAGACTAGTCTAGATCAGACTTCTGGGAACTGGGCTAGACTGTAATGCATTCGTTTCTACTTCCTTTGAAACTCAGATCCTGACCCTTAAGAGTTGACCAGTCTCATGGTCCACCCCAGCACTACTGGGAGTGGACCCCCCGAAGCTGCGTGGCAGACAGGAGGGCCAGGACTGAGATGAGCTTTAGAGGGAGAGTGGGCCGCAGGCCGCAGCTCCTCATGCCCCGCTCTTGGCGTGGAATTTAAACAAACAAAAAGAGCGCAGGAGAGACGGCCGGTGAGAGCAGGGCACAGTCAGGGTCTGGGGTGCCCTCCACCGTGTCCTTCCATGGTGGGCTTCCTGGCCCTTCATCATGCCCATCCTTCGGAATGAGGGTGGGATCTACCGAGAGTGAGTATCCCAGGATCTTCGTGTAGCCTGGCATCTTCCACTCATCCACAGTGGGGCTTTGGCATCCTTCGAATAGAGCTCGCCCAGGAGCAGGCGTTCCAGGGAGAAGGGAAGA